GTCGCAAGGTATCAGTCATCAATAATTATAGTTTGAGCTCAAGAAGTTGAAATGAAAGGAAAACGTTTTCCTGCATTGTTTGAATGACAACATGTCTATTGACAATACGGTGGAATTATTAGATAAGAAGTGCGTAGGAAGTACCATTTTTTTATGGTTTAAAGTGTGTTCAAATCTAAATTTTCAAAAATTATCCTATCCTAAAGTGTAAAATTTGACAACCTTACTAATGTCATCTATGTGCATTTCATTCAAGCCTGTATCAAGGGGTCTGTTGACGCGACATGATAATCTGAGCTGTTTTAATGCAATAGAACAGGGGTGTCAAACTCATTTTCATCGGGGGCCACATCAGCAATACAGTTCCCCTTGAAGGGCCGGTTATAAATGGAAAACTGTATAGATCGGGGGTCCCCAACCCCAGGTCTGCGGACCAGTACCAGTCCATAGGTCATTTGGTACCGGGCCGCAGTGGGACACAGTTAAAAGATGTACTTATGTACTCATATCCATTTAAAGATAAAAATAATTTAATTTTAAATTAATAAGTAATTCGAACTCTGATACTATCAGAATAAAATATGTTTTATTTTGAAAATGTAATGCTTTGTACCTTGCTACTGGTCTGTACTGTAACGGGTGGTACTAGCTGACCAGTCCTTGGAACAAAAAAGATTGTGGACCACTGGTATAGAAGTAACTACTCCATAACAGACTAACACATGTTTCTGCAATTGATTATTATTTGATTGATTATAAAAACTTTTAATTTTTCAGGTTAAGAAACTCTGCTGCATGGACTTGCTTTTTAAACACCCGCGGGCCACACAAAGCGGCTTGGCGGGCTGCATTTGGCCCCCGGGCCTTGAGTTTGACACGTATGCAATAGAATACTGATGATTAGTTCATATAGCTAGTAAAAATGTTGGGTTCTAACGTCCCATTTGTTGGTTCCACTGAAAATGTCTGTGCCCAGTTCAATGGTTCCATGTCCCTGCAGTGACCATTCAGCCTTCGAAAATGCAGCCATGTAAGTCCTACCAGAGGAGAGAGAGACCAGTGACTGACCAGCGACATTACCATAAAACCTGTGGTGTGACTCTTTCACCGACCATTTAGAAGGGAGAAACAGCGTGATGGAATCCATTATCCCCAGTGCCAACCACTCAAGGATCACAGCAAAGGCTTGTGAATACATCTTACAATCAATCACTTTAACCCCCCGTCCACATCTCTTTCCCCTTCCCTGCACACACACTAACCCTCGCTCCAGTAAAGAGGAGAAAATGGTTCAAACTCAATCAACGCTAATGACCCTGGAAGAAAACACTCCATTGTTGTGGCATTGGAACAAACTGTGGAACATTGGGGGGAGGGGAGGGGCGGATTGGGGGGATTATATGTTCATTGCACTGCAATTATCAACTGGCCCTGCACTCACTGTAGCTTTTAATAACAACATAATTTAAGAGTTTCTGGATCAGTGGCCACACAAGCTCTGATGGCAGCTCTACAAACCCAGACACAAAGCAATGTTTGGGTCCATGTACTGGTACTTCTTAAATTTAAGATCTGTTGTAAGTTTCAATGATTTGTTAAAACTGTTGTTTTTTGTTTTGTTTTGTTTGGTTTTTTTTTGTTTGTTTTTTTGTTTTTTTATCTAACAGTCAATAACATCGTGCTCAATAGCTGTCCTCAGAAGATCCATGAGCCTCTGAGGATCTTTGATTCTGGACAAATTATGTCAACTTGGCATGTTCTCGGTCAGTGGTCTGAAGTATTGTTCTCATTTGGTCTCACTGTCCACTCATTGGCTACTCATCGATTGAGAATCATCTATTTTTAATGTTGTGTGCACGTCCCTGGATGTTGTTACGGTGCAGTGTGATTTGGGTAGCGGTCGTGGAGACCCCCAACCCCACAACCCAGTAACGGATAAGTGGATGAATGGATGGATGGATGTTTCAGACTGAGACATTAAATTTTAAATTGTGTATTTGCGGAAAAGCAGGACATTTCCTGGCAAATTCTTACAATATAAATAAAACATGTATTGTTATTGAATAGCACATCCTCTTCCGAGGCTCTCAGAGGGGCCTCAGAGACACAACTCACTAAATGTCTTTGGTGTAAAACATCAGAAGAGCGGCACATCAAACCCTTTAATAGTTGATACCGTGACCTGTTTCTGTAACGAGCAGCAGCTGCTAAACAACATCAATGTTTAAAAATGATCAATGTTCCCATGAACGCTTCAACGAGGCCGCAGTGAGATCTCCCACCACCTGAGGTCAAGTGTATTATAATGTCGACTGAGGAGCTGCTACTGTAAACAAATTTGTTACCCAGGGCAGATCTGCTGGAGCACGATAAACTGGACACACGCGGACAAATAAACACACTTACGCAGGGCTTGGGCAGCAGTGCGAGGGAGCCACAGTACGGCCCACCAAAGGCAAATTCAAATCTTCCCGGACCACACTTGGTTTCCAGCAGATAGCGGAGAAAGAGATGCAGCTCTCCACCCTGCAGGCATGAATGAGAGAGCTAACATGCAGTGAAGCAATGCTGGATTTAAAAGGTGGGCATCAGGATGGTGGGTGTTTATAGAGGGGGCCTCGGTGCAGCAGTTGGAGCACAAACCCATCTAACTTCCACTAACGAAACCACATAAAAGGGTGAACAACAGTGAGGACCTGCAAAATGTCCCCAAAAAGAACAAAGTCACCACAAAACGATGGCGTTTTCCAAAAGTGTCCCCACAAGTACCTACAACAGGAACACACACACAAATCTTTTTTTTTTTTTTTACCTTTTTTTGTGGGGATGGGGTTAGTAAGCATTTCCTTGCATTACATGGAGATTACATGAGAGTGTACCAGTGATTCTGGTTGTGAGAAAACAGATCGTTAGTGTTGTGACCTGGCGTTGACCTTTCTCTGCTTGTGTGTGAATGTGTGATGGGCTGCAGGTGTGAGAGATGGATAGGGTGGATGTGAATGTTTAAAGTGCATCCTGAGAGCTGATTAACTGAGCACATGGTTCATGGATAATGCCCTACTTAGCCAGGGGGGGGGGTGGGGGGGTTAACAGGGTGTTGCTGTGTTGGCTGCTGGTTTCCTGGGAGATGAGGAAATATACTGGTGACCTGTAGGTAAGAAACCCTTCAGATTAAAACTAATAGATAATGACTTGCTAGTTCCGGCTGCTAGCTTAGCATTTCTCAATGGCTGTTTAGCTTTCATGTGTTTTTTAGGGCTGTCAAAATAATTCTATTTTTTTAATTAATCACATAATATTTCTAATGCATTGTAACAAATTGGCAGAATTAGGCACATTGTATATCCAATAATAATAGATAAAGACTTGCTAATTCCAGCTGCTAGCTTGGCATTTCTCAAAGGCTGTTTAGCTTTCATGTGGTTTTTAGGCTTGTCAAATTAATTACATTTTTTAAAAATAAATCACAATATTTTTAATGCATTATAACATGTAAATAAAAACATTTAGCACACTGTATATTAAATAATAATAGATAAAGACTTGGTAGCTGGTAGGTTAGCATTTTTCTGTGGCTGTTCAGCTTTCAAGTGTTGTCCAATTAATTTAATTTTCTTTTAATTAATTACATGGTATTTCTAATGCATTGTAACATAATATGCTCACTGTTTTACTACCACCTCAATTCCCAGCATTCATTTGTGGAACTGATGCTTCTGCATCAGGTTAGACACTAATTACCGTAATCAACATTTATAATCATGAATAATTGTGGTTAATCATGATTAATTGTGATCAGCATCTACTAAGGGATTAATTTGATACAGAAGTGTAAATGTATGATTGTCTCAATATTTCTTTCTTCACTTTTTTGTATTTTTGTTTTGATGTCTTTCATCCTGTCATTTTCGTCCCTCAGTGGTCACAAACAGAGACCACACAGTGGTTGTTACCAGCCAGTTGATGGGGCTACATGTGTGCTTTTTGTGGCATCATGGGTAAAAATGTGTCCAGGAAGATTTTCAGAGACGCATTGGTTGTTTGTCTGCAACCAACACCACCTGCTCCTGATTTAATGGGTTTGGACGGTTAGAGTCGGTCCCTGAGACACTTTGTGAGTTGTGGAGGGAGCTACGGCAGATGTTTGTCTGTGGCAAAAGTACTGCAACTGGCAAGGTCACTGTCCTGCGAGTTCTGAGATGTGTAAATCAGGATCTAAAGACTGTTTTTTTTTTCTAGTTTGTCTTTTATCAGTCTGTCTGTCATTGTTGTCCACACCTGTCTCCAAGACTCTGGAGGTGAAACGACTAATTTCAACATCCTGCCAGTGATGGAGCAGTCACAGCCGAAGGCTGCCAGACAACGAGCTTCTTCGAGACGAGCCTTGCATTGCGTGCAGCATAGCACAACAATAATTGCCCTCCTTGTCAGGGTGTCATTAAGTCCGGCAGAGTGAAACATGGCGTCCAGTTAAAGCGGCGGGACACACAGGGAAGGGAAGCGGCACGCTGAGCTGAGCTCAACCAGGCTGCACTGGAGAGAACCTGCACCGAATGCCAAATCAGTCAGCTGTTTACAGACTGCAGGGAGGGAGGTGAGCAGCAGGGGGAGGCGAGTGCAGAGAAGGTGTGAGGTGACCTGTGTAGGTAGCGAATGTGCACGTAAGCAGCATTCATATTGGCAGGAAGTGCTCAAATCATTACTTTTAATCATCATCATAATATTTGTACTGCAGTATTCACTTCATACACGTAGGAGTTAGCAGTTAATTACTATATTATGTCTGCGCTCTTATAAATTAATTTAACGCAACTTTACAAACATACATTCTGTCTTGTGATCGTTTCCGTTCTCGCCCTCGCCTGTCCCAAAGAGTGGGTGGTGACTCGCAGGTGGGACGCATCATGTTTCTCAGGAGTTTACGAATAATGTCTATTGACTTGAGCAAAGATTTGAGACTTTTAAAGAACCACTGACGGTTTAACACCTGGCAAAAAATCACCATCACTAGGTTGATCAAATGCAGAAAACATTTTAATAAAATGGTAACAGTACAAATAACATAACATCAACAAAAGGTTCCACATGCAGAGAGTTGATGTGAGCTGGAATGATCACACACACACAAAAAAAGGATGACAAAATGACATAAACATATCAAATTATACGTATATATTTATAAAATAACAGAAAACAAATTTCAACCAATCAGAGCAAAGTGGGCCTCTGTGTCTGTAACAGTGCAAAAGGTAGAGGACATGACATCAGCCACATGGGATGAACAATGTTGAGCAAAACACACCTTTTGACATGTCCAGGCCTGTGTGTGTGTGCGCGTGTGTGTGTGTTCAGTAATTCTCATGAGTGATAACTAAAGAGTCTAAATGTGCCTTTAAATGCATCAGTGTACAACCGCAACATCACGTCCAATTAAAAAGTCCGACTGATGGCCACGCTAACCTGTTTTACCAACAACAATACATTCAATACTGTGTATAAACACCTTGTAAAAGCCTGTGTTTGTGTAAAATGGTGAGAAAAAAAAAAAAAGTGTTTCTGTGTGTGTGGTCTTTCAGATTCATTCAGCAGGGGAACCCAGAGAGTGGCTGAAGGAGCGGCTGGATGAATGGGTATCTGAACAGATGGGCGTCGTGCGACGTGGGGCGGGAGTAATGTTTCACGCAGCCGTCCGTCGGCGGATGACAAATGCTCCTCTCTGCAGCTGTCCCAGGTAGATCCTCATCTTTGTGCTGTCACTCGTTTTCCTCACCCAAAGCTGCAGAACACAAGACAAGGGTGGATTATACTACGTGAACCAGCATCCCCTAGCTGTAGGAAGACATTTTCACCAAAACAATTGTCCTGAGAGACAGTTTGAACCCTGTGTCATGGGGGTGAGGGCGGAGTTACACCCTGGACGGTTCCTCAGTTAGGGTTAGTCAATTTGGTACAGTGGTTCTAAAAATGTGGGGTGGAGGGTTATTGCAGGGTCACACAAGGTCAAATAAATGAATTTTTTTTTAGTTTCAATTAAATAGATCAATTTTATTTGTGCAACAGAGGGCGGGAGACTGATTTGTATTTCCTTAATTTTTCGTGAGATATTCTGGAGACGCCAGCCATTTCAGAAATGACAGCTTTACATTAAGACCAGCAGAAATATGAAGGAGAACTCAGGAGGAGAAACTCCATCTGTGTTAAGCCGAGCGTCTCCATCTTCACCAGACGATTCAGAGATCCTCCTGCTGTTGTTGTGAAGACATCTCGGTGTGACAGTTTATGCTGTGGCCCAAACTGGAGTAACTATACAGAACAGTCCAGTACAGATGATGATTTAACCAGAAATGATAAATTTGAACAGACGATTTCCTCATTTAAATGACAACAAACGATAACATCAAGCAAAATAAGAATGCTGTTAAACATAAAATGAAGGATATCTCAAAATAAATAATAATAACTGTACAGTTGATGAGAATGGCAAATAGAGCGGTATAATTGTGAAATACCCTATTTCTTATTCAGCACACATTATTTTTTTTAATATGTAAAAAAAAAAAAAAACATATGATGCTACAGTGCATTGTTTCCGAAAGACTGGGTCGCAGCCCTCAGGTGGGTCGCAAATTTTTTTTTTTTTTGGGGGTCGTCTCACATCATGTTTCCCAGGAGTTTACCAATATTGTCTATTGACTTTGGTCGCCAAGGTTTGTGACTTTTAAAATATGGGTCCCCAGAAAAAAGTTTGGGAAAAAACTGATCTAGGGGCCACATAAAATTACATGTTAAGCTGTATTCGGCCTGTGGGCCTTGAGCTTGACACACGTGGGCTAATAAAAGTCCTTAATGTTTACATCACTATTCTAAAACTTGTTAAGTTACAGTCGCAAATGTATATAAAAAAAAAAACAACCCATTAACTGCAGATAAATTTCACTTCAACTGGAGAAAATCATGGCGATCGGACACTGGTGGCTATTTACAGCAGGAGAATAATGTCTGAAGTCCTGTGTGAAGTTATCATAATGATAACACGCCGTTACACAGAGCTACAGCTGAACTCGAGGGGGGAAGAGGGTTTTTTTTTTTAGAACATTGGACCTTTGTGGCAGAAAATAGATGAGTACATCAAGCTGTGCTTACACAGACTAAGGTCTCATAAGAGTCTTTTTCTGTGACATATTAGCAGCGTTGTGTTGTGCAGTAACAGTACAGTGTACAGAGCAGGAGCTCACCTCATTGGTCCCCACTGAGCTGATGACACAGCTAATCTTTGTGTTGTCCTTAGATTCCAAGTAAATGGCCTGGCTTTTGTGGTACCTGCCAGCAGAGTAGAGCAGAGCAGAAAAAGCATTAGGTCGATGTTGGCCGTGAGGAACGAGACAGACGGTAGACAGGAGTGCAGACAACAGAGGAGTTTATTATACCTAATTATGCCGTACTGAATAAACCACAGTCCTGCAGAGATGATGTAAAAGACATAATTGGACTTAGTCAAAACAACAGTCTGAGTCCAAATCGTCAGAGGAAAAAAAACTTTGAAAAAGACTTTGAATTCTGAATTTTTCAGCATAGAAAATGTGTTGAGAGTTCTGTTTTTTCGTGGGGCTGAATTTCTGAAAGATAATGTACATGTGCGACAGTCTGGGTGTGTTAATGTGCTGTTATTTAGTCCTGATAATCGTTATAATAAGATCTTATTTAAGATGAACAGCTAAAAAATAAGGGGCCATCAAAAATGGGGCAACATTGCCATCTGGTGGTCACGAACGCATCTGTCATTTGTCATCTTATTTCAGAAACGCCCCATCACAGTGAAAAAGTAATTTTGTTTGATAGAAATACTCAATATACAGTGAGAAAAGCTAGTAAAATTATATAATTTTAAATATCCAAAGACAAAATGAATCTATAATTGACAGCTATTCCCGGCCCATCGGATATGGGGGCGTTTTGGATAGAAACTTAAATAAAAGAAAACATTTTTTACCATCTTTTGTCGTAGTAAAGTTTTCCTTCTTCAATGCGTGCCTCATAGCGCTGCGATGGGTTTTCCATGGGGACTGATGGGACATGTTCTGGAGTGGAGGGCGACACTGTAAAACGACAAAAACATTAGTAAAAACGTGCGCCACAACCGTCTGGAATACTTTGCACAGCTAGAGTTGGAAGAAAGAGCTATTAGTAATTGTGTTGAAGTAAAAAAGAAAGTACCGAACTCCTAGAGGAAAGAAAAAAACACAAAAGGAAAGAGTTTTTACCTGGTCGCTTTGGTGATTTTAGCTGCAAAGAAAAAAAATATATATTTTAAAAATATATATTGAAAGAATATTTGTGTCTGCAATTGATCTGAAATACACCTAAAACCACTGACCTTATTTAGTGTTCTTAAATCTTCCATGATCTGTTCATCTGTTAGCAAATAATTTAGCTGAGGTTTGAAGCGTTAAGGAAGGAGCGTTTGTTTGTTTGAAAGGTTCAGATTGGTTCACAACAAGACTTCTACAGACTGGTTTCATCCCAGAGATTAAATATTCAAATTATACCTGTTTCAAAGATGGACCTGTTGACAAAGAGTTTTACTAAAATTATGTAATATTTAATATAAATGTAAATAAAAAATATAATATAAAAATTAAATATATATGTATATGTACTTACTGTATATATATATATACACAAAATACATATAAATATATATACATATGTTTATATATTTATATATATATACCCAATACATATAAATATATATACATATGTGTATATACACACGTATGTATATATTCATATGTATTCATAGATGTACAGTATATATGCATATAAAACATATATACTTACACACATATGTACACATATATAACATACATATATGTATCCATACATGCATATATATTTGTGTTTATAAAATCAGAATATAAGCTGCTTTGTAAATGGTCGTAGGGCACAGTAATTATGTACCATTGTGCGATTTATATTGTTTTTGACCAAATGACCATAAGAACACAAGCGTATATATGTACAGTATAAACATATATGTATAAATATACATGTGTATGTATATATTCATATGTATTCATATATACGCACATATAAAAACATATATACTTACACACATATACACATATATAAAATACATACGTATATGTATCCATACATGCATATATTCATATAGGGGAGACCGGGTATGGTTGTAACATGGGGAGAGCTGTAACACCACCAATTCCACCAATTAGGGATAAGATAGGAGTTATATGATAATTTCAGTGTTTACCCACTTCCTCCCTGATCCCACATGGTGGTTGTCAAGGTTGGAAACAGGCACATGCAGATTCTATAGAGAAAAAAATGATTTTTTTTTTGTAAGTAAATGTTTTGACCAAGACTATATTTTGTTTAGTATTTATACTATTGTACATAAAACCATATGACATTAGATTAAATTGTAGTTTCTCAGGCATAATATGATGCATTTTTCCCCTGCTAATTTCAAACCACTATGCTAATACAGTTAGCTGAACAATGGCTGACAGGGGTGGGGTGGGTTGTAACACATTTTTAAAAAGCGTTACAATCATCCCCTTACATACAACTAAGAACACTTTATCAATTTTAATACATTTTATAAAATGCCCAGGCAATGGACAAGTCAGTCAGATCAGTTGTGAAGGCACATGAAATCTGCCATGTAACACCGAGCAGAAGCTGAAAGACCAGGGGTCCAGTGATCTTCCCAGTCTAGGTTACTGGAGCAGCAACAAAGTTTTCTCTGAGGTGCAGAAGAAGTGCTGGCAGACAAATTGAAAACCTTTTTGTGTCTATGTTCTCAGGTTTCCTATTCCACTTTCTTTTAAGTTAGAAATTTTGCAAATCAACTGGCAGTGATATATACCAACACAACATCAAACACCCACAAACATGGGATGAGAAGCAGATGACAGGTCTGTCAATGGGGAGTCCAGAGGCAACCAGCCTTACACAGGCCACATTTTAATTGTTACAACTTAGGCCTTAACCCCTTGCAGGGGTTTGAATTGTGCCATTTGTAGTAAACAAATGTGGGTACTTTGTATAAAAGAGTACTCAAAAATTCTGAGTTACAGGTCCTGAAGCAAAAAGTGTTACAACCTCCTCGGTCTCTCCTATGTGCGTTCATAAACTCAGAATGCACATAGTGCACATTAACTATGTACTTTTGTGCGATTAATCGTGATTACAGGCCTAGTATTGCTAACCATGACCATGACTAGGATATCAGGTGCCGGTTTTCTCCGTTTGTCTGGAATAGGAACTGGATCATTAGGTCGTCTCCTCAGCTTCCGAGTCATGATGGGTTTTACCTCCATGGAGTCTGAAAATAAAAGAAGGCAGAGAAAAGTGAGACTAAAAATAATATATTTTTAAATGAATCCCAAGTACTTTTTTTTACCCTCTATCCACACTGCATAAAACATTCTGACTCCTTATCCTACTTAGGATAAAATACTCCCCATTACATTACACACACGCACACACACTCAGTCCACATTGCTTCCGCGTTCTGGGTCCCTTACCACCGGTGAGTTCCATTGTTAACTTTTCATTCTCAATCATTTTCTTCTTCTCCTCCAGCTCTGCGATTAGGTTCTCTTTTAGTTCCACCTTTTTATCATCAAACTCCTTCACCGCCGCCTTCTTCTCCTTGATGTAGTTCCTCTCCACCTGGTCCGTCTGCGCAGAGACGACAGACGCGGCCGGGATGAAACACTTCCTTTGTGATGCAGTGAAAATGTTGGATCGATTCGATCAAAACACCACGTTACTCACCTCCAGCTGAAGGAAAAGATCTGTAGAGGGGAAGAGAAACGTATTTGGTCAGGTAACTGTGACGACTACAAGACAATGACTTTATTAGTTCATTATTCTAATCTTCAGTCACGTCAATCAACTTTTACTTCAGTTCTTACCTGCATTTCGAAGTCTCTCCTTGTACTGCTGGTCCAACTTCTTCATCCTCTTCTGATACTCCTGCAATGTACCTACACAGGAAGTGTAATTTAAAAAAAAAAAAACTTTGTCAATAACTTCAATCTATTTTTATACTTTCAGAACAGATTATGGGTTATTTTACTGAAGGAAATAAAAGTTTTTTTCATGGGAAAAAAAGTTTTCTGTTCAACCTTTATTTTTTTGACCAAATTACACTGTGGCCATTTAGACCCAGCATCAATATGAGCTAATATTGATAGATTCACTTTGATTTATGCATTGTTTCAAATCTGCTGCCATTTGCAGTTTATTGTTGGTACCAGATGACAAAAATTTAAACTGACCAACAAACTACATATAAAGCACAGCCGGAGGATGAAATACAAAAAAAATAAATAAAAAATTCATTGTGAAAAATAAGAGTAGCTCTGACACTTTCTGACAAAATCCACTCACTTTAATATCCCACAAAAACCTGCCTTAGAGTTAAAATAAAAAAATCCTCCTTAATCTAATGATAAGAATAAAGGCCAGTGATTACCTTCCTGTAGCTGCTGCAGTTGTCTTTTCAGAGAGGCCAGTTTGTCTTGATACATTCTGGGAAAAAAAAATAGAGGTGACATTAAAATGCAAAGAATGTGCTGTAAAAATTAAGACTGCACTGCTTCACAGTGCATCAACGGAACTGAATTGAGACCAGCGAAGATGCTCAGCTCTACGCAACAACTGCAGTATTAATGCAACCGAGAGAAGAGACGTAGTAATGTGTGTCTGAAGTCTGAAGTTTTAAATGTTACGTTAAGATGCAACTTAACAATCAATCAGTTGGTTAAAAATATTTCCTTTTGTTTACCTCCTTTTTTTGCCTTTTTGTTTTGTTTTTTCAAAAATAAAACCACTGAAAACCAGATAAGCCACATATTATTGGTTAAATGGTCACAAACATAATTTCCTGTCATTTTCAACACCTAGCCTTTTCTTCTAGGAAAAAACTTGTTGCTGCCTTCACTCCCATGATGAATGTTATATGTATAATAATCACATTAGAATGTGTTGTATGTTCATGTAAATGTATTTTGTTATATTGAGCTTCCTTAAATTTCAGCAGAATTTATTTCAAATCCAAAGGTAAAAATGAACCGTATATTTTTTTTTAAAATCATTTGACATTTATTTTCCAGTTTAATTGCTTAGACGCAGTATTACAACAGTGGACAGTTGAGAAACTAACACGTACTGTTCTTTGATTTCCACATAGTCATCCTCATCGTGTTTGGCCAGATCGGTTTCACTGGCATCCTCTGTGTCTGGAAAAGAAGAATGACAGGAAGAACCTGGGATCAGATTTCACGACTTCCATCCACTTACGAACTCGCCCGGTGAATACTGTGATATTCATATTGCACGGTACGAAACATTTGGTCTAATTACGGTTAGGATTTCTTGCAATTTAGTTTAGTTTAGTCCACATGGACTGACAGACAGATGGCCAAGCAGCAGATGAAGGGATGTGCGTGGCAGTGGGAAGGTAATGGTGACAAAAAAACAGCCTGGACACGACTTCTGGTGAGTGGGATCCGGTGAGGACAAAACGTTGTACAGGTCAAATATTATAGGCCACATATTTCTGGATGTGAAAAAAGTTCGACTGCACAAAGTTGATGGGAGCAGGTGTTGAATACAACGATTCGTGCTTGTGAAGGTACACATAAGTCCTTTTTTTTAAACGAAGAATGGGACTGTCAAGCATTTTGCCGCACGGTGGCATTTATGACAAACGGTCATCGGCTAACTTGGCCCTGCTCTCATTCTCACGGCAAGTCTCTCGGGACAAAGCTAACATGGTAGTTCAGCGTCACAACACCGGCTAAGCTACTATCAGGGTATAGACGTTACCTCCGGTGCCCCCGACTTACGACAGGAGTCCAGGCCCCACGATGCGAAGCTGACACAGCATCTTTCGTTTTCGGTTAGCATTAATGCGATAGCTTCAAGTTAGCCCGGTCGGCTGTTATAAGAATATCCCTAAAATGAAGACTCGACACACTCGGATGAGTACAACACACATGATTCGAAGTCAGCTGCGACTGCACAATCTGGCAAACCTTGTACGGTTGTCATTGTCTGTCTTCTCGCTCCCTGTCTGTCTTTCTGGTTCTTTGTGGTCCGTCCCGTCTGGTTGAACAGTGTGAAAAGGACAGTTCAGTGGACACAGCACGCAGGGTTTCGCCAGCCGGGCGACCTGTCAATGCTCAGAACTAACGTTACGTAGCGAGTTGGCTAATTAACACTCCGGAGCCAACACAGTTCCCACGCAATTCTTTAACACTTGTTATTAATATTGGATATTAGGTCAGTGTAGAATTTGTATTTTTGTTATATGTGGACATTACATTATATAACAATAATATAGCTAATATTTATCGAATATTTTTATGTAATGTTAATTTTTAAAAGACGGCCGTTTTGAACAGAGTGCATATTTTAAACATTACATGAATTAATCAATCGTAAAGCTTTGGAGTTTCTTCTAGGTGGCAAACATGTTAAGTAGCAAACAAGCTAAGTGTTCGTGCTTGCAGCACGCATTGCTCTGGCTTTACGTTGGGGATTTGAAAAATCGTTTTAGATTTCTCGAAATACAGTACACGAGAATATAGGTCGCAGAAATACATAACACATGAATCGATTTGGATCTTCTGTTTCAAAGGAGTAACACGTAAGGCGACAGTGCGCGTTTCCGTTTATTTTTCTATAAGTTGACTGAGCCCAGCGAATAGGAAGCTGTGCTTGAGCGTTTACCTTCTTCAGAGTCCCTTCCCCTGAAACTCCTGTCGTCGTCGTCTTCTATGCTATCGAGCTCTTCCTCGTCGTTATAATAATCCACAACATGCGACAAAATAGTGGAAGCCATTTGTTCAATTAAAAATGTAAACAAATAGAAAATAAACAAACGATTTATGCTTTGCCAGGCGGGTTTCGGAACAGCGCCTACAACTGGCGGGACCTTGGACAATTAAGCTGTCCGAGCTTATGCCTGTAAAGAAATGTGTATTCCATCAAGAATGGACATATGGAGGACGTTTAAATATTTCAACAGCTGACATGGATATTCTTATATAATCCGATCATTCATATAGGCTTAATTTAACCTACATAAATTAATAGAATACTAATATATTTAAACAGGCATATTCACGAACACGTGTGGCTGCGGGACGTCTTTGTTTTGGCTGTTTCACCACTACTACACTTCAACAAACACGAGGGAAGTTTGTGATGCTAAGGTTATATTAGTGTAGTTATCGCCTCTAAAGTATTTTTCAACTAAATGTTTGTTGTGTGTAAGAAATCCAAACGTTAGAAAGGTATATACAATGTATTTGCATACACAAGGGTGCAGTGCTATCGGCCTTGGTGATTTATAATAGTTATAAGGCTAAATAAATGCCTTCAATAAATAAATAAATAAAGTGAGGGAGGACATGCAGACAGTTGGAGTCGGAGTTGAAGATGCAGAGAACAGGGAGAGATGGAAAACAATGATTCGCTGTGGCAACCCCTGGAAAAAAAGGGACAAAGCCGAAAGCAAAAGAAGATAAGGCTAAAGAAATGCGTTCAAATGTCCTTGCTATGCTACATATGCAATGTTATGTTACAAACACCGGAAGTTATATAAAGCCTTTTCAAAATTATAAATCCATTATAACTATAATAAAGAAATGCATTTGTTTGTTTTTAACTATTTTTTTGCATTTATATAGTACAATTCGTATTCACAACATGTTTCACAACACGACTTTCTCAAGTTCCCCCTTTGAAAGGTCACCAGAGGCGACCATCCATCTGACCATCATATTATTCACACCCTGTGTTATCACACGTTATTATAACTTCTTTACAGTCTTTTTATCCTTCCGCCTCACGGCTGTTTTTAATGTTCTGTCCCACATTCATACTATCTCTAGTCAGCACATGCCCAGTACTTATCTCACTTCCTCATTATCTCCAAACGGCTCACCCTTTTGAGTTGTTGGTGTTATTGTTTGTGTCTCTAATATGTGCATTTAGAATCAGGATTATCCTTATTACACTCCCAATAAAAAAATACTTGTGATGTCTGCCTCAGCCTCTGCTATCATTCTGTAACACATAACCTCTGACACTCGTCTCCCCCTGCATGTTTGAGGACTGTGGAAGGAAACTGGTCCAAGGAGCAGCCTGTTGCAGCAGATCTGCTGTTAACATGAGGATCAATAAGTGTAGGATTCATAAAGTTTGAATTATTGTTATTACTACAGGGGCAGGAGATCATTTTATCTAAGCTAAGACAAAACAATGCTGGAACTGCACCTTAATGTTCGTCGTTCAGTATTGTCTATGTCTGTCAGCGCACGGGAAGGCAAGGAACGTAATTTCGATACCTCTGTATGTTCTGTACATGTGAAGGTATTGACAATAAAGCTGACCTTGACCTTGACCTTGACCTTGAACTGTGTTGTCTTTGATTCAATCAGAATAACTTTATACAGAGAACTTTTAATGGCAAGGTTTTAGCAAGTAATATTCAAACTCTGCACAATATTATGTTGGTTCGGATGCAGCCCTATATTTTTATTTTTCATTGTTGATGATTAAAAAAAGTGTACTGCTGAGTTAAATAACTATTAATTTTATTAATAGGCATAATTGTTAAGTTTATTTCTGTTGCTATTTTCCACTGTATGTTGCATTAATAAAATCGTTATTATTTTTGTATTTGTATTGTCTCTCTATAATGCAAAGAAAAAAGTATTTCAGGTTTAGTTTAATATTGAATTTCACTTCTAATTTTTTCAGTAAAATGCACATATATTAAGGACAGATCATTCTTGCTCTGAAATAAAAAAAATGCATCTGTTGTTTTACAAAAAACAAAACAAAACAATAATTTAAAAAACCCCTAACATTTCAACAACTGTAAGCATGAAAGTACTCATATGTAGTGTAGCACTGTAATATAAACAGCAGGGGGACCCATTGTACCAGGGGTGACACCTACGCGGGAGCAGCGCTGGATTTCCACCACTGAAGTTGCAACAGAATCGGGATGATTCAGTCCATGCATCATTAATGAGCAGCAAAGGAATTAAGGTTTAAGAGTTTTGTTGCAAAGTGTCAATTAGTTGTTTAAACAGGAGCACGTTGAAACGACGGAAACAAAGAAGAAGCTTCACGATGCTTTGCGTTTCCGTGTTTTATGTTGTTAAACATAGAACTACTGGTATCTCTAGAGTCTGAGGTACTTTTTTAGCTGTCCAATTCAAGAAAGAACAAGTGGAAGAGAAAGAGAAGGGACGTGCACCTGCCTTTCAACGAACAACTACTTCCTTTCCGGTCGTCTGTCACGCTAAGCTGTCAAACCCTGGCTGTGGGCTGAACTGCTGCTCCGTCATTCAGGAAGTCCACACCAACTGACAGCGCTTTAACTCACAGTGACTTCAATACAACCGGAACAAATTATGGTAAATTACACCTGCTTCTTTACAACAGTCGACTTTTCTGTTGTCTAGGGGAGAAAAAAGATGAGCTTTCTTTCTTTTTACCCCCCAACCTCCTTTCCCTCTGTTTCTGTGTATTTGTGTCTACACTTGTTTGTTCACAGCTTATCCGCTATTAACACTGAATTGACACTTCCTCTGAGAGATGGCAATGAGCAACGCTACCGTAACAGGACGGTGGAGTCGTAAAAGTGAGCACAAACGGCTCCGTCTGAAGTTAGAAACGACCTGCGTCGTGTGGTTCCGTCCTTGTTTGGTCTTGTTGTATAAGAAGCAGTCATCTTAGCCGCGGTGAGCCCTGAAAGCAGCAGCAGTAAATAGCGCTGTCACATCGGCTGAAGTGTAGAAGTGCGTAGGTTTGGTAATTGTTTAGTCAAGTGTGTGTGTGTGTGTGTGTGGTTTTTTTTTTTTTTTTTTTGATTGCCGTGTCTGTGCACCTGCTGATAAATCCCCGCTCTCCGTTTGTTGGACAGTGAAGCCGCGGCGGGAGTGCGCACACCTGTTTGGTTTCGTCCTCAGCGGGTGAGTATAAACAAAACTGGTGACACTTCGTGTTTCTTTTCGTTTCTTTGACATGAAAAAGGCGACTGGATGTTGTGCAAACTTCGCACGGGAGGGAATTATTATAGCGTATCCCAAAATGTGGGTCAGTGTGCGTGTTGCCTGTCACACGGAAAGAAAGAAAAAACGATGGCACCGTCCATTGCATTCCTACCTCGTTGTTGTGAGTAGGATTTTACTATCAACGCTCAGTCACAATGGCTTTCAATTGACACCGTGCAACGTTTACGGCGCATGACACCGAACCATATTTTACTACGTTTACTATGTCGTCCTCTATCCATGAATGACACGACTACGGTTGTTTACAATCGATGAAACCGTGCGAGTGACTGTTCGTTAGCGGACATTTGTACCATCACCTGTGTGCACGGTGATGTGTTAATAGTGAATCGACACCTCAGCTGTGGAGCTGAGGCTGAGCTCTCAAACCCCAAGCTGACCCAACATGATGTCATCTCTCGTGGTGTTTGTAGAGCGCATGAGTGAGAGGCAGCAGACCTGGGATTGTCTTTGTACGTTTGAGATGTAGTACTTGATGTAGTACTCTGAGGTAGAAGATGCAGCAGCATGCCCACTAATCTAAGCACTACTACCTTATACTGACAAGGATGTCATTGTCCAGAATGTTCTTTTTCAGATACAGCCTTCTGCATAGACGAGCAAACAGGATGTAGTAAACATCCGACTGTGTTGCAATGTTATTCCAGCTTCAAGTATTTTTTACCGCAACTGCAACCAACAGCAGGTGTTTATTTAAAACATTAGTATGAAATAGGGAAAATATTTTTTTTGCAAGTTATTGTTTTTCTGTCTAAACATTTACTATAGGAAAATGTACCCACTAGGTGGCAGTAACACGGCTTATAGGGGTGGAAAAACGAAGAAAAATGATATGAGGATACATACATTTTCACTGCACAGGATGTGTTCATTGATGCATCTATCTCAAGGGTTAACTTTTTTAAAAAAATTTAGCACAATAACCATTAGTCTCCAAAAGTCAGTTTTTACATGTAACGCATGAAACTGTGACTTTTTTTTGTAATTAATGAGAAATGAGAAACGGTCTCATTTTCCCAAAAACCTCCATTCAGAGCCTGGTCACAAGTTCCTTCTGTGTCCAGGCTAGTGCTAACAGTCTTTTTCCATGTCTTTTTAACCTTGACAGCAACATCTTTCCAATATGTTGTTTGCTGTCCTTTTTTTTTTAAGACTCACCCTTAAACAACATGTTTCCAGTGTTGTTGTTGTTGTTTTTTTTAATTGGCAATGCTTTGTTGGAAGAAAATTTAACGGAGTAGGAAGAAGTTGCACCAAGTTTCCTTCTGAATGACATGTAAAACAGGTAAAGTTGGGCATTATCCATGGCTTGACTTAAGCTCCACTATGGAACATATGGCTGTGAGTCCTTATTCTGTCAGTCATGTATAATTTGTCACTTTTCAGATTATTATTTAAATGACAATAACCATGGTAAAAATGTTGCTGTCATTGAGGTCATAGTATCTCCAGTCAGACTTTTATTTGCCCTTAGCTTTTAAATTTATACAGCACAGACCTTCACTGACATCATCAAATAGATAAAGAGTTTAATGGTCAACCAGTTTACCGTGCAACTCAGAAGGGGAACAGAAACTAACACACTTCCTTATTAGAGTCTGTATCTAGGGCAGTTGAACCCTGTTTGTCAACACTGATTGAGAGGTGGATGTGTCAAATGTTGTTTGCCGATAACACACAGGTTAAGAGGGTAATAAAGGCCCTTGTCCTGTACTGCTGGACCTGAATGAGGTTGGTCACATCTGGTGACTTTAAAACCTTTTGACCTATCCACGATTCCAAACCTGCGGCCTTCGAGACCAAGAGTCTAAGAACCATGGCCTTCGTAACATTGTTGTTCACTGCTAAACCACAGCAGCTTTTAATGGGCCTTTGTTAAACACAGGGTGATGCAGTCTGTTAATGTACCATGACATCAAGCGTCCTCTCCACAGACAGCAGCAGTCATGAGCATAATGCTTATAGTCATGTCTTTTTATAGAGCCGTGTGAAAGATTACTGCCATGTTAGCCAGGGGTATCTCGTGAATTAGCACAAATCCTTTCAAGTGTGTATGTTTGCTCTGGGAAAGGACAAATCAGCTGCACTTGACAATTGGCTGATGTGGCTGGCACAGGCAGGGGGTGTGGGGAGGGTGTGAGCTGAAAATGCTACCACTTTTTCATATCAGATGTGGGCGCCTACTGTAATTAAGCTAAGTCAATTTTTTGGCTCAGCTGGCTTCCAATATTTAAGAAAAAACATTATTGACTGTCTATAAATTTCCTAAAAAAAATAAAAGACTTATTTTACTTCATTTTGCAGTAAATTGTGCGCTAAATAATCATGTATTGACTAGCAGAGACAGGATAATAAAATACCAAGGCCCTTGTTTAAAAAAATGTGCGTTAAGGTCCCTGTAGAAATCAATATTTGAATAGCATGTGTGACTCATTTTTCACCCGGGCACAGTCGGTTTTTGAACCTGTTGTATTTTTCATAAGAATAATCATAATAAAATACACAGTACGTTAGGGTCCAGAGAAAGAAATAATATAATGACAAAATTAATTGTATTGTGAGCCCTCAAAAACTCAAACATGGAAAATTGGGATTCAAGCTGCTTAATTTCTGTTAAGTATGGTACTTAAACTGAATTTTTCTGACATACTGGGTTAACAATCACACATGATTTTGTCTATCACATTTTCTTTTCTTCTAAGT